AACACATTAAGTAAACCAGTACCAACAACATTTGAATTAATAGACATACTAAACTTCATATTTCCAAAAGAACAACAATATCCCAATTTGTCCAATACAGAAACAGAAATTAAATTCCGTCTAAAGGACGGTACAACAAAAGTGTCTAACAAATCCAAATAATAACCAGTTTTCAATAATAATCTAAAGGGCGCTATTGCCTGCACTTCTATTGACTTGCCATCACCCACAAAGATGTATCTTTCAGCATCAGTTGGCTTTCGGTAGTTCAGGCAACCCTGCATAGAAACACATATGTGAGTAGTAGCACCAGAATCTACCCACCAAGTGTTTCTTGGTACTGAAGCTAAATTTATTTCAGAACAGACCAAAACATAATATGTACCTTTCTTTACACGCCAGGCGGCGTATTTGGCACAATCCTTCTTTCTGTGTCCGGGCTTGCCACAAAAGAAAGAACCATCCTGCACTTTCTATTTCTTTGGTTTTGGACCCTTAGGAGTAGCAACTTCTTTTCCCTTATGCTTTCTTTTGCCCGTATGCTTGGAGGTGCTTTCCGGATGAGCACTTTTAGTCCTTTCTTGCTTCAATCTCTCTTCCTCTTGCACACAAAATGAAATGAGCTCATTGAGAGTCCATTTCTCCTTTTGGCAGTTATAACTGACCTTAAATTGGTTAAATTGTGCAGGAAGAGAGATGAGAACTAAATGCACGAGCAAATCATCAGATAGGTCGAGCTTTAGTGCCTTAAATTTTGAAGCAAGATGAGACATCTTCATGATGTACTCGCGAACATTACCCTTGCCTTTATACTTCATTGAAATCAAGCTTACTAAAAGCGTGCTTGTTTCAGCCTTATCATTTTTAGCAAAACGCTTTTGAATTTCTGAAAGAAATTCACCGGCAACGGTAACATCCTCTGTTATTGCCCCCCAAAAGACTTCTGGAATCCCACGCTTCATGATCATAAGACTTAACCTGTTAGAACGATCCCACTTTTCAAAGTACACAATTTCCTCAGGAATACTTTGTTCAGTGAGATCATTCGATTTTGGCATTCTTAATGCCAAGTCTATGTCCATGCAGCCGAGAACAATCAATATGTTCTCTTTCCAGTCCTTAAAGTTTGTTCCATTTAACATTGGAACATTGTTCATGTTGGCAGAGATTGAAGTAGTCGACATAAAGCTGAATAGAAAATAAAATAAAATGAATAAACAATTATGCTCACATTAAGTAACCAAACAGATAGTCTCTAAATAAATTAATTTAATGACAATATCTCAAGATACCTAGCACAAAATTAATACCAAGCCTTTGGGTAGTGATATTAACTGTAAGTGGTATTCTTGTTGTAATGATCAAACATTGACAATAAGTTATGTCAAATAACAAATCTATCTTTTGATGGATTTATTATTCACATTAGGTTTCCTTGACAATTGGCACATGTTTATCACCACAAATGTGTGTGTAATGCTGCCAAGTATTAATCATGTCTTTGGACCGATAAATACCCGCATGATGTACACATACATGAACATCAAAACATTCCATATAAAACAATCTAGACAAGAGAGATCGCTTTTGTGACATCTTGTTTTAATGACTTATATTTAGAACGTTAGACAATTGACTTCAACTGTAGACGTTGCATGAAATTACTTTAAATTTAAAGATTCCTTAATGCGTTACCTCGTATATATTATAATTTGCAGCAATCCCAATTATATACATATATATATATATATATAATTGACGGTTTGAAAAATGAACCGCCCATCCGAATTATGTTCCATTTCCAGAAAACAAAACAGAATTTGCAGCAGAGGGAAAAACAGAAATACAAAAAACAGAATCTGATTCCAAGAAACTAAATAGGATGAATAAAAGCATATCTATTCTGATAATACACATGATATAACCGCTCTGATACCACTTGTAAACATAAAATTTCAGAACATAAACCTTACACTTTGGATCATTTACCATGTGTATTATCAAGAAATCAAGACAAAAAAAAAAACATACCTGAGTCCATCGATGAACGGTTAAACGGAAGCGTCTAATTGTCAATAAAACCTTTGATATTGACTATGTTAGCAGACGGAAGTTTTTTTTTTTTTTTATAACCAATTTTCACAATCAAACCGCATGATATATATATATATATATATACATGATTCCATGAACTTGAAATGTAGAATCCAAATGCAAACTGATGTCATCAGTTTCATACATACAATCATCCATATATATATATTATATATATAAACCCATGCACTTATCCATTAGAAAGATTTATACCCACTGCCCATTTCAATTATATTAAGATTTCCAGAAACCAGATTACCATTTCCAAAAAACCAAAAAATATAGAATTTGCAAACCAGGAAACCAGAAAATAGACAGAATTTGCAACAGTAATGCGGAAGCCCACAAACCAACGAAACTAAATTGGATGAATTAATAATATATCGATTTCTAATAATAAACATGATATAACTGCTCTGATACCACTTGTTATTCTCAGAACATAAAAACTTAAACTTTGGATCATGTATCATGTGTATTATCAAGAAATCAAGACAAAATTGCGTACCCGATTCCATCATTGTGGTTAAACGGAAGCGTGATTGATAGACGGAATTGCTTGTGGTAATGATTTCCAATCCTTTCCTATGCCCTTAATGCTTACTTTTCCAAGAGAGGATTTGAAGAAGTTATGTTGTTCTTTCATATGCATGGTAGGATTGGGACCATAACCCTTTGTATTGGTGGCAGTTCAAATAAAAAACCAACCGTGGTAGTTGAACTCCATTCAATAACCAACTTACACAATTTCTATTTCTGCCCCTCATAAAAATAGAAATTGTACAAATAGCATCTACACACTAGGTCCATGACAAATATACCCTTTAAACCTGCTAACTAAATTAGATCACTTAAATCTTAAGGCCTTTGATAAATTATAACACACACATTTAAATATGTGGTCTCAATTAGAAATTAATCCAACATGTAATCCTCGTTTCAGTAAAGAAACTCCTACCAACCTTAACACTTCAAGACTTGAAACAGAGTATGAAACTTAAGCCTCCAAAGTAGATCTTACCGGCCGATTCGTACCGGAAAATCGAATGACCGATTCGGATATGGACCAGTATAGGGGTGAAAATGAAATTCGCAGCCATATCGTCCGAGTCTCGGTACGTGACGGCCTGAAGCCGATACATACAGCGATACAGTCTGATACACGTTGGTTGTCACCGATACAGATGAAAATTCGCGCAGAAAACCTGTAAGATCTAAGCTTCTTTGGGCTGTGGAGTTCACTTCGATCTTCAAGCTTCTTCAAAGAAGATTTGTCCCTGTGTTGCAAGTTATAATTTGTGCTTATGCTTATGCTCTGTTTTTGGTGAACCTGCTGCTGCTATGCTCTATTTTAGTTGCTGTGCTAAATGTTTAGGGTTTTTTTTTTCCTTCTGTTTATTTGTTTATACACCTACACTACACCACTGTTTATATTAATATATATATATATATATATATATATTTCTATTCAGCAAAGCAAGGGAAAAAAAAAATATTCAAATCAAATCTATCAAAAGCTTGGATTAGTGGGAAGGTTTTTTTTTATTATTATTATTATTATTGTGCTATGTTTTTGTACTATTTTTTTTAAAAATTTTTTTTATTTGTGTCTTGCTTTGGTGTAAATGCTAAAAATTTAGATTTTTTATTTTTTAAAGAGGTCTACTCTAATCATATTTTTATTTTAAATGTATTATTGTTACTAACTAAATTAGAATTATAACATTTGTCAATTGAAAACTGTTATTGTAGATAATTGAAAGTTATAATTGAGACTAAAATAAATACATATCATTTAGTTGAAAATGAGTCAAAAGTGTTCCTACATATCAAAATTTTGATTAAAATATGACAAATTAAGGCTAAAAGAGTCAAAAAAAAAATGCATAAAATTGAGTTTTAGAGGGATTGCTAATGATTTTTAAAATTTCACGGCCACGACACTCGATTCTCGATATGTACCAACCGATACTACTGATACCAATACTCCGCAATTGATACCGTTACGTTACCCGATACCGCGATTTAGAACTACAACAGCAATTTATGCCTTCATGATAAAAGGAGAATCTGAATTTCTTTCTTTTTTTTTTCTTTTTTTTTTTGTTATTATTATTATTATTTATCTCAAATCTCTATGCTTCAGCAAAGAGTGAGTGCACAAGTCTCTCCTTCCCTCTAGAATCTCCTAATTATACCTACAGGGTGCTATGAGGAATCATGTGAATTAAGACAAATGTCAAAAATTTCTCTACAAGTTTACTTCGGGCATCAATTTATTGTTTGATTTTTCTGTCGAAAACAAAAATATAAAACTGAATTTATTTATTTATTTATTTTTTTGCAGCGATGGGGGATGATGCTTGGATGGCTACGTTTATAAGGTCCTTCTTAAAGACTTGTAAACAAGGATCTTTCCTTGAGCTTCCAATGTTAGACACCCCCTGTATTTGTGTCAGATCCATGCATGCCAGTTACATCAGGTTTTGCACCAGCAGCACCACTTTTCTTATTTTGAGTTTGTGTATGATTGCTTAAAATATGTATAGTGTTTGTTTCTTCTTCTTGTTTTTTTTTTTTTTTTTTTTTTTTTTTTTTTTTTTTTTTTTTTAGATGGGAATTTTTTCTTTATTTGTCTGAGTGGGTAATATATGTTGGATATATCACCCCATGTTGAGGGGTGATAATGCACCACTTGAAGAACCCATTAGAGAGAGTGGGGGTGGCTCACCAACTCCAACCCACTAGAGAGTGGAAGGAGGTAGGTGGTGACCAATCACATCCTCCTTCAATTGTGTATAAATTGAGTCACCAACTCCAACCCACTAGAGAGTGGAAGGAGGTAGGTGGTGACCAATCACATCCTCCTTCAATTGTGTATAAATTGAGGTGAGGAGAAGGGATTAAATTAAGAGAGAAAATCGAGCAAACCAAAAGAGAGTGAGAGATGTGAGGCGGAGAGACCGTCTTTCTCGGTGTGAGCGAGGGAGACGAGAAAGTGGCTGAGTGAGGATAGTATGAGCTCCTCCTCTATTGTAATCTTTCTGTAATTTCTCCATTGTTATAATGATAACTGGTTACTCTCTCGTGGACGTAGCCATTGAGGCCAAACCACATTAAATATGGTGTTTCCTTGAGTGTGAGTGTGAGTGTGTTTTACTGCTTGGTATGATTTCTATAAGGTTTTGGGTGAGATCCCCGATCCCATCAATATATACCTTGTTGAAGAGGTATATTTATTAATGCAGTATTTTTTACTTATCATGTTTTTTTTTTTCTTAATTGTTAGGATTTTTATCCTACAGTTTTTATTGTTTTTATCATTTTTGAAAATTCCTCTCTTGACAAAACATATTGATTATTGAGTCATTTTGATTATTGATTTACTATTTTTTGAAATATCTAACTTGAAGTAATCAATTGGAGAGTTGAACTATTGATGATTGGGCTGAAGTAAGGGTTGAAAATCATGGCATTTGCAGATATAATGTGGCTGGTTGTCTACTGCAAAATAAGGAAAAAAAGGGGACTGATTGACTAGTCTTGATTGGCTAAAGCATGGGTCAAGATTTGATGGAAAAAAGGCTAAAATGGGGCTAAAATTGGCTGATTGTCTTGTGATCATTGTTGCAGGGTATGGGTTGAAGATTTGAAGGAACACAAAGCCAAAGTCTGCAAATTCAGCTGAACAATTATGTCCATCAAGCCCGGAATATTCCAATAGTGCCCGCGATTTGTAACATCGCGCCTGCGAGAAAGTCGCGATGAAATCAAGCTCTCAGTATCTTAGTTTAGTTCATCTCTGTGCCCGCGAACATGACATCGCGCTTGCAATATATAGGCATGGCGACCACGAACTGGAAGCAACTAGGCCGCGACCAGGCCACAAGGAAAACAAGCTCTTAGTACTTTTCTCTGCAACCCGCAAAGGGGTCTCGCACCCGTAACCAGCAGTCTCGCACCCGCAACCAGCAGTCTTGCACCCGCGACCAAAAGTCTCGCACCTGCAATGATCTTATGTCTATATATACCATGCTCGGTCGTGTTGTTAATTAATTCCTTGAGTCTGTAATCTTTTAGTGTCTTTACTGAGAGAGTGCTGTAGTAAGGTTAATTATATATTTCTCTAATGTTTACTTGACGATTCAACTACTCCATTTGTTCTTTCATGAAATCATCAAGTCTTAAACAAATCACCAAATAGCTCACGAGTGTTCTTGAGGAGTAAGTGTGTCGAGGATTCAACATCTCACTTGTGAAGACAGATATCCACGGAATGAAGGATAGATGAGTTACTTGTAGGTCTCGAGCAAGCATGTGTGCTTGGATTGATCGTTGTAAGAAACCTCTTGTACTACTCTTCTTTACAATAGATTGTTCTTGTGGTTGAGGGCCAGTGGTTTTTTAATCACATGTTGGTGGATTCCAACTGTGGTTCCACGTAAAAATCTTTGTGTAATGTTTTCTCTTTGTTCTTTCTATTATTGTTGAGCTTGGTTGGTTTAAAACTGTTAAATCAATCACCACAAAATCATGGAACTATAATTATTCATTAATAATTCAATTTGTTTTTTACTTTGTACGTACGTTTAAAATTTATGCAGACTTGTGAACTTTTAACAATTCTTTGTTCTATTTGTTTCAGAACCTTCTTGTGGACATAAAAGGGCCTGCATTCGCATATGGAACCTAAGTTTGAGGTGTAAGTTTTACCATTTGGAATGTTTTGACTAATGCACTATGCTTTTCTATTTATTGTTGACTGTTACCCTTCATGAGCAAGGAGAAACATACGCTTCATGAACAAGGAGAAACATACGCATAAAACATTTGCTTAATATGCCCGTGGAAAATAGAATTAGTCTTATTAACTCTGGCTTTTAGTGATTGGATTATCCTATTGTAGGCATCTATTGTCACAACCTTTAATTTGCTGTTTGATTTTTTGAATCATTCTAAACTTCTAGCGATCATGTCTCATGTTTAAGTTTATATTCACAATATACTTCGTCAGTGCTTAGAATTCTATTGGCCATAGCATTTGTTTTTCTAGTTCATGGCCTAATTGTCTATTATTTTGCTTTCATCTACAAATGGACCTCTGAGATAAGCCCGCACTAGACTTCCCTTAACCTTCATATGCATCTTAATTATCTGCAACTTTTATCTGAATCTTGTCACATTAGAACCTGTATTCTCAAGCTAGTTTTTTTTTAAACTCCCAGGATTGAGGCATTACTTAGGCTATGTAATAAAACTAATTAATTCCTTCTACAGTTTAGATTGTGAGGCCCAACATATTAATAACAAGGGACATGAGTAGTGTATTTACACCAAAAAAAAAAAAAGATCTTCAATTTACAAAATGGTTGTAAACAGCAAAAAAACAATCTTCTATACGTACGAACTATGTTTATTAACATGAATAGAAAGTTGATATTGTGGCTTATATAAAGGTTATTCCCTTGTATTACATGATAGTTAAATTTGATGTCGAAAGTTAAATTTTTAGATGTTTGATAATGGAATGGATACATACATTACATGATCTAGATATGGAGAAATAGATTTTTTAATGTGATTGATTTTTGTGTTTGTAGACTTAATTGACAGAAGAATGATATACGCTATAGGCATAATAAATAAATAAATAGAGTTAATGAAAAATGATAAACAAGAAAAAGCATTGCAATATCTAATTTAATATAGATGTATTACTACATTTGGACTTCTTAGCATATTGGTCCAAATTAAATCTATTGTACCAAAACCCTAGATTGAAAATACTATTTGTATACATGTGATGCCCACTAAAGTAGATGGTGAGGGGGAATCTCAACAAAAGTGGAGGTGGCCTCCAAAGAAGAGAAATTTAAAAAACAGAGAATGTGAAATTTCTCAAAGCCCTAAAAAAAAAGGTACCTTTCAAAAACTCCAAAGGTTTTTCAAGTCTCTTATATGAATTTAGTTCTCCACCCACTCACTTACGTACATTTAAATATACAAATTTCATTACTAATTTTTGTTCATAGTGATGACAGTTGAATTGCTTGTATCATGTTATTTTAACGAATTTCATTTTAAATGTCAAAACTTCAAGATAGCAAGCCACATTTACAAGCAATATTAATTTATGAGATTTGTATAAAATTTTCATTCATTAAGTTAAGGTCATGCTTATTTGGATAGAATGGATGATTATTATTTTTAAAGTTGTTAGTCTTGCCATTATTAATTCTTTTAGACGGTATATCCCGTCACATGTTTGAATCTTAACCTCTCAATAAGTATAAAATTGTTAGTTTATCTTAACAAGTTTTTCGAATCATTTTTCAACTTGTTACGTGATCTATATTGGCCACTCCTCTCACAAACAAAATAAATTTTCAGTCTTTTATGGCCACCACCATAGTTTGATGTCTTTATAATAATAATAAAACCATATTGGTCCTTCAAATATATATCACATACCCAAGTAAGCAATTCATTATTTTTTGTCGAAAACTTATATATAATGTCACACAACTTTCATAAGAACAAACTAACTGTGGGGGACGAGTAAAAGTGACCGCTCAGGACCTGTTCAGAGGATGTCGGGAGATGAACACTGGCGAGGATAACTCGGCATGACTAGACCCATCTGAAGGCCGAATATAATCTATCCGAGGGCTGAGTATTCTGAAATTCTTCTGACACATCTAGGGGTCTCGGATGTGATGGCAGAAGGTGATGATGGGAAAGTGGGCCCCTGGAGTGCAGTATAAAAAGGAGGAGCTTCAATCAAATTGGGGTATGTAAAAAAAGGGAAGAAAAAGGTGATAACTTGAAATAGAAGTAAGACTTGAGAGAATA